GCTCGCAGCCTGGAGCGTAAGGCCAAGGCATTCCTAGAGAAGGGTGTTGTCCAGAACCCAGTTGAAAAGCTCAGCGATGACACTTTCCTTGTACGGTCTTTTGTGCAAAATAGCAGTGAGAAGTATACTGTAATTATCAAATATTTGGGGTTGGATGGTGCAAAATTGATTTGGCTACCATACATTATCATATTCTAGGTCAAAGCAGAAGGCCTACGTATAGAACAATGTAACTGCTCTGGTTATTACAAGAGTGACAACCATGGTTGCAAGCATATGTTTCTCGTTCCTCTCATTCACACACAATATTCCGCCCGTACACCTATCACCACCTATGAGAATACCATTTCCATCCCATCTATCCGTGGTGGCTCACCATCCCCTTCTGCATCCTCTTCATCTCCATCATCTCGTCCGTCTAATACATCTTCCACGCCATCCACGCCATCCACGCCATCTACCCCAATAGATCGTGTTACTGAAAGAAAAGAAAAGCTTGCCAGAGATTTGCTGGCCTTGAGCCGTCAAGTTAAGACAGCTTCCTTTTCATCCACCAGGAATACGATCGACCGTTTTGATGATTGGTTAAACCAAGTTGAAGAACTCAAACAATCCATCATCACCCAATCCTTTCCTTCCTCCAATGCTCGCTTCCGTAAACAGTAGATGTTGTTATACATTGTCAACCTTGCCTTTCCTTAAAATAACATTTTCATTATCAGATAGCCATCCAACATCAATATCTGTGAGCCACAAAGCCATCATCATAGAGTTGATAACCATATATTCAAGCAATAGCAAAGGCAAGATGATATATAGTGGTGAAAGGTGATTCAAGCTGGTAGGTGGTAGTGGGTACTTGTATGGCTATCGAGTGATTCGTGATTCCCCTTCAGTTGTGCAGTATGATGGCCTGTATGCAAATGTCAAACCTTATCAATGGTTATATATACCCAGAAAAAGGAACCAACCAGTGTGAAGACGTCGACCAAAGTCAAAGTTTGAAAGGCTGTTGTTTCGTGTATTGTGTCGTTGTCTACAAAAAGAATGTCTCAATCAAAACAACTACAATTGCGAAGGAGCAATTTGCAATTGAAGGTGAACCTGATTGCTGATTGACATGGAGTGGTGAAGGATCGTTAAATGAGTCAAAGAGGAAGCAAGGATAATAAAGCTCAAGCGCGTATGTCAAAGGGTACCTGGGCTGGGCAGAATAAAAGAGCTGACTGAATTTGAAATTTGGGTTGGGGGGAGGGGCCCAACTAGCCGTTGACATAACCAACCCCGCATTTGCCTCTCGATGTGGTAAACGTTTGCTCAAACGTGCTGCTGGTAACCGTGCCGTACCGATCAAAGAATTTGCGTACAACAGCGTGGAGCATTCTCTCGGCATCTTTTTTAATCGGCCGCACTTCATTGACCAAATCAACAAATGGCGGGATCGTGCTGATTCAGACAATGTTTTGCATGATGTTTACGATGGAAGAATGTGGAAAGAGTGGAAGCAGTCTGGTTTCCTCGATGACAAGCACGCGTTGTTGTTGACGTTAAATGTGGATTGGTTTCAGCCCTTTTGAGATATTACGATGATAAAGATAAAGAATAAAAGATGAAAGTACGTTGAGAATCAATATACTGTATTCAACTTAAAGGTGCCGTTACCAGCTACAACTACAACATGTCTTATATAGGTTTCTAGTATGGCTGTGTGACGATGCTAAAGGGAGATGGCGTTTACATAGAAGGATGTTGGGGTACACGAGATGACGGGGCTCATTGAGTGATGAACCTTGAGTGTGGATATGGAAACGTTACATTCGGTGTCCTCTTGCGGGATAAGTGTGGTCGTTGTGATACCTTGGCTTGGCACCTTGTACTTGATTATGGAATTGGTACTTGAAATACGACACGTTTATTTGTGGGCGACAACACTCTGTTGGTGGGATATATCTTGCCATCAATAACCTGCCACGATCCCAACGAATGAAACCAGAGAACCTTATTTTAGTTGGTTTGATGCCAGGGAGCAGTGAACCCAAGAAGCAACAAATCAATTACTATCTTCGGCCTTTGGTGGATGAGCTATCGCGACTATACGATGGTATCGACATTACACTTGGCACCGACAACTCAATAATCAAAGTGAAAGCAGCACTATTAATGGTCGCATGTGATATACCAGCCGCTCGAAAAGTCTCTGGATTTACGAGCATGTTTTAAATGTGATCGATTGTTTCCAAGTCGACTTGATAATCATCTGCAAAGAGATTTTTCTGGTTTTAAAAACGTTGATTGATGGAGAAGAAGATCGGAGGAAGAAGTAAGAAGAGCCCGCCAAGAATGGAAGTCATCGAGCCTAAAGTCTGAAAGAGAAGATGTCGAAAGGAGGAGTGGTGTGTGGTGGTCTGAACTCGATCGCTTGCGTTATTTTGACACAGTGCGTTGTACCATAATCGACCCGATGCACAACCTATATTCTGGTACGGCTAAACGTTCATGTAACTTATGGAAAGCTGTGTATGAAGAAGGGTTCAACAAGCCATTGCTCTCGAATGACGCCTTTTTGGGAATGGTGGAATCCACGGACGACATTGTTTTGCCTTTGGGATATGATATACCCAAAGGAAAGATCAAATCAGGTTGCGCAGGATTCAAGTCAGCCGAATGGCGTACATGGGTGGTAGCGTTATCCCCTATCTTGTTGAAAGGACGTCTCTTGGGCGATCACTGGAAGGTGCATCTCTTGTTTGTTGGCGCGAATCGCATACTGGCAAAGCCATCCCTTTCAATCGATGAGATCAATGAAGGCCACAAGAAGCTACAGCAATTTTGCATGTTGTATGAGAGGCTATATGGACCTGACGAAATCACCCCTAACATGCATTTGCATATGCATTTGCGGGAAACGATGCTTGATTTCGGGCCAATGTATGCTTTTTGGCTTTTTGGATTTGAACGGTTCAATGGAATTTTGAAGGCAATCGATACAAACGGCAAGGATGGATTGGAAATCACTATGATGCGTCATTTCTTGCAGAAGCATCATGCAGGAGACTATTTGCATACCATGATCGCGAATCTCGAGCGACATCCCTTTTTGAAGAGTGTAATCATGGCGCTGGTTCTATCATTGTATACTGCCTCATCTGAGCCCCAAGATAATGATGACGAGCTTTTCAACTTGAATGAATTCAATCGCTTTTCGGAAAATCCAATGTTGGTTGATGCAGTCCTAGGATATGAAGCTCTTCCACCATCGCTTATTACGTCGATACAGCTATCCGATAAGCATGTCAGAATGAGCCCAAGTCATTATATATGTTTATCCCGGTATTATCGTTGTCGTAGACACAGCTTAATCATCATAAAGTGGTTCCCACAGCTGTCATTTAATTCTCCTTCTCATCTCATGTTTGTCACACCTACATTCTCCCACGCATAAATCTTATCCTATATGGCTGTCAGGTACATGGGCACAGACGCGTACGTAAGATTATGGGTATATCGAGAATACCATCATCGTTACTAATCATGGTGTGAGGGCGTGGGAGAATCAGGTTATAGCAGGATCAATCATTTAATATAAAAGAGTGGACGTCTTCATTGAATAAAGGGGATCTTCAGTCTCACTTGACTTATCATTGTCTCGTTTTTTGTAATCTCATTCCATTTTATTCCACTCGATCACAATCGTACGATCTATGATGGCATGTATCCTGACGTGGATACCTTTGATCATTGGAGTTATGGAGTTGCACCAGAAGTCGGCATTGAGGATGAAGGTGTTACGAACAAGGTATCCATGGTAGTCCCTTATATACGTAAAACCTCCAAGATCATGATCCTTGGGCAAGAGTATCGTAGCAGAGAATCGCCGCGAACCAATCGGGGATCGTTCATTCAAGCGTTTTATGTTTCTTATGATCCCAACACGGGTGAAGAAAGGCGTTATCTTCGACCGGCACAAGTTCAGTATTTTTTACGCATAGCGTAGGCGTAGAATGCACCGCCGATGACAAAGTCAGACCATTTGTACACATGTTTGCATTTGTGAGATGGTTTGATCCGTACATCGTCAATGGGCGGCTTTCTTGGGAAGATCGTGGTCTCTCGGTTTGGCGAAACAGGTTTAGTCCATTGGATAGTACCTGTATATTGCCTGTGCACAGGATTCATTCACCAATCGGGATATATAAGTGGGTAGACAATCTCGTTGTGGTCATTCCTTTACCATGCAAAACAGTTGGGTAGACTCAAGATTGGTTCTAGTGGTAATATGCTTGCTTAATAGATTATACATTTATCATTGTGAAAGGCATGGCATGTTGTATGGAGGGCATTGCTGATACTGATTGATCCATATCCAGTGGTATTATACTTGAACAACGGCTATTGATCGTATGAAAACTAAGTTCATTTCTCAACGAGAAAGTTAACAACTCTGAAGTCAACCCCATTCATGGTAAGTAATATCACGTGGTGTATGCCCTGAATCGCATGTTTATTGTATTCATTATTGATTGCGTGTAAGATCATTGAATACTAGTGGGAAAGAGAAGGGAAGAGAACACCACAACACAACCACAATCTTATCCATCGTTCTCAGCATCATCAGGAACAACCACCTTGGCCCAATCGGGAACCTCCTTGCTGACTATGTCGTCAACACCTTGTACCACAACCGTGCAAGTACGCCTCTCTTGTCGGTCCCTCTTTTGGCAGTATTCGCGGCCTTTTGCAGTGTGTCTGCTCAGCGTGGTGAGGTCATCCAAAAATGCGTTGGCCTAAATTGGCGTGCGATTGGTATGTATAAGACAATGATTTCACTCGAACACAATATACTTACAGCATCCGAGCGCCAATGTGGGCGAAGTAGCTTTCTTCCCACTGTTTGACCATCTTCATTCACATCGTCGTCCGAATCCGACATCAGAGCAGCTACCAGCAAGTCTTCACCCTTTTCTCTGTACGTGCTCAAATTACGGCCACCCAAAGCAAAAGCCTCCTTACGTATATCATGTTTCTAGTAAGTAAAAGTGTTATTTATTGCTACGATCTGACAATTGTGTATTCATGATATGTGTATGAACACAAATACAGTAGCCACCAGCGACACATACCTTCTTACGGGCGTTCCTCTTGGCAACCTTCGCGCTATGTTTCTTGCGCAATTCATCCGTGAGATCAGCAGTCGCTTTATGATACTCCAATTGGTTTTGTGCTTTTGCGAAGATTTGATGATCCGTCCAATGCATTCGTCGAGGATTTTCACCCGTATCACCACTGGTGTTGTTGTTGAGATGTTGTTCAAGACCACGAATGTAAGCTATCATGTTGTTGACAATTCTTGCGTTACGACCATCACGAATTGATTTGGTTTTGTCCCATGTCATATCAGGATCCTTGGACATCCTCTTGTAATATTCGCGCAAAGTTTCCTGATAACATGGTACAAGGGTAAGCATACGGCATAAGACATTGGGCATGTTTCCTTTTGCTATCCGTATACTTACGCTCAACTCTGTATCACGCGTTACACCTGATCCTGCTCTTCTATCATCGAGCTCGGCTTACATCGTATCAATCGTTTTCTGTTGCTTCTTGATAACATCCTCCGACTTCGACACCCTCTCACCGATGTCATCAACACGGCCCCTCTTGCGCACAGGTGCATGGTGTATCTCAGCTGAGGACTCAACAACTGGGATCTGGTTGGTGCGATTTTGCAGCGAAGACATGATTTGGTGATGTGGTATAGCAACAGGCGATGCCATGGCAACGGGTTAGTTTATATATTTTCCATCACTAATGCTTTATTTTGCATGTATTGATCGATCAATATAGAGCGCTATGGTACAATGCACGGAGATTCATGCAGCAAAGAACGTGTTACGCAAAAAGCCAGGGGGTTGCAAATCTATCCCTATAAATATTGATGCATTGGGCCCTGTTCGCGTTTTTGTTGTTTTTCATCTTTCCCCCTTTCACTTCACTCCACCTCGCAAATGGTACAGGTATGGCTTTGCATCTCATTTACGCACACACTTTTTTCTTATGGGCTAATGACTTACATTAATAGATACCGATACACCCCAAGCTACATCTTACGTAGGTGTCATTGCATCAAGCTCTACAGCACTATAAGAAACATCTATCATCAAGTTCAGGTCTCCACAAATCTATTCTATATTCTTCCATACGTGATCCCAGGCAAGCCTAACGTTGATTTCATCTTCTTTAGGGATCCTATTGGCGGGTATGACATTTATATGGCTGCCGAGTGTTTGTAAGTATCTTACTCTATTACATTATGTCTGCTCCAAAGGCTTTTGTTATTGACGGATCACTACAATAGTGTGTAGAATGGCAATGGCACTTGTATCATTCACTTTTCTATAGTTGTCTTTGGTACGATCTCTGGAATGACAGGTGTCACATTCTTAATGCCACGAGTCTAGTCCATTTTTGAATTACAGTCTTCCTCAATAAACCACTGATACGACATCCTATGCTGATGACTACCTCTCTATTGATCATTGTCATGGACACCATGTTCCTAATTAATGCACAACGAGCATTATGGTTAAATCTATTATATGGTTGCGTCGTTGCAAGCTCAAAATGTGATTTCATCGAATGTATGTTAGCTGTAACCCTGCGTTTTATCAAATTTATGCTAGCTGTAACCTTTGGTTTCATCGAATTTATGCAAGGTGATAATCTTACGTTTCTACCCATTTACACCGGTGGAAACCATGGATCCTGCAAGACTTCTCCTATCGAAAACGCTCGTTATTGCTACTCAGCTTCTAGCAAAAATTGTATGTTTATGTAAGCTTTCTACTGGAAAGCATCTTTAGTTTCTCCCAGCTTGCAGCGAGACGAACCGGCTGTTTATTCGATGGAAGAAATGCAGAAATCAGGGATGTCTTCCCACCGAAATGTAGCATAAATAGGAGTTTCTTCCACTTTCGGCAGGTCAAAACATGCTGGTTGTGTCTAGTGTCCTTTGGTAAGAATTATGATGTCAAGCTCGCTTTGGGTGCTTTCCACGTGATGTCCTTTGATGATGCTTGATGTTTCCCTCACACTCCTTTGTCTTTCCCTTTTTGGATTCCCCGATGCCCCGTTTCATGCACACATTTTGCCCACGTCATTCCCTGTTTATTCCTTTCCCTGTCTACCCGTTCCCTGTCGGTACTTTCTTTACGTGTTCTTTTCCCTTTACTCATCACTTTTGTTATCCTTGCTTCCTTTCTGACTTTACGAATTTCACTTCAGCTCATTCCACCTTACTTGTTATGTTGTTCATTCACACTTCTACATTGACACAGTACGACAGCACCACGATTGCACCCTGATCTCACATTCGTCATGGCAACGACTTCTCTTGTGACGTTTTATCATTTTTATCATTCACTCGGCTGTCCCCGAATGCACCATGATCATACATTATCATTCAGACGCACTATATGTAAATCCAGACACACTAAGATACATGCACACGCACACACACCCATATTGTTATTATCATTGTCATCATCATCCTTGTATTTGTCAAGTCAATATAAAATAGCTCAGGTGTTGAATAAAGAAGAATAAGCTTTTTGAAGGCGAAGATTTGAAGAAGGATTGTTTCCTATTGCTGATCGCTGATATTGTGCGAACGAGACCCCTTTTACCTTTAGATTATTCACACATCCCTCCCATTGTTCCCTTTTACTCTCTCTCTTTGATTATCTTTTCGATTGTTCATTGCAGGTTGATCTCTCAGTCTTCAGTGTTCGTTGTTTATTTTACATTTCATTTCTATTCATTGTATTTCTACATGCCAGTGGAGTCTTTCTTATTTTATCTACCCTACACACATCACTTACCTCCCCAGATACTCTTGAACAACCCTTAGCACCGCACGTGCCATCCACATTTCGAGATGGTGACCCCCACAAGTGCCAAAAATAGCACAGGGCGAAAATGTTCGTGTTAAACGTGTTTCGATAGTGTTTTGAAAGCGTTTTTCGATAGTGTTTTTGCGTGTTCATGGATGAAGAGCTGTAAGTGAAATCTCTTCCTTGAAATGGAAGGTTGAAGGTGCTGGCATTCATTTTATCACTTTTTGAGGATAACTTGTGCATCCATCATCCATCCACCCACCGCTGCATCCATCCCAGTGTTGCTCATCCGATCCGAATACGGTAAACCTGATCCGAATCTGATCCAGAATTTCGGATGTGGATATGGCATTTTGATATACGACCGGTTTTGGGCCCAATCCGCGGATATCCGGTATCCGATAGCTTCGAATGCGGATATGATAAATAGTACCTGAATAGATGAATAAACAACATGAGATACGAGGAAACCTACTTATTGATATGTTATTTGTCCATCCCTGCTACAAGAACACCATCAGAGATAGGGATCGGCAAAAAGAACCGGGTACCGAACCGGTACTCGGTACCAGTCGGTCATCCCGGTCCCGGTACCATCGTGAGAACCGACCAGGAACCGATAGTCGGTTCCATGTTGGTACCGAGGTACCGGGTAAGTATGCTTAGCATGTATCAAGTGACATCATATATGACTATGTCTACAAGCATCATCATTGCACCACCTTTTGTATGCTTCAATATTCGTTTATCTTATACAACGCATATGGCATATATATAACAGCACATAAACACTGAAGTATCATCTCTTGAATAACGTGAATCTAACAGAGATTTCTTCTTTACTTCCTTATCGTATTGTATACCAAGTATATAGGTGGACATTATAACATTTATTAACCCATTACGGGCACCACAAACAGGAAAAGAAATGACATATATATAAGCTCTATGAAGGGGAAAAGGAAACAGAAGGAAGAAAGGGAAACGAAAGGAAAAGAGGAAGGAAAAGAGGAAGAAAAAAAACGAAAGGAAGGAAAGAAAAAGGAGATCTATGAATGAATGTTCAAATCGAACCAAGAGCCAAGCAGCATGAGTTGCTTGATCATGCCTGGGGAAAGTCGATTGCGAACATGGGGGAGGAGCAGGCGTGTTGACGAGAAACATCTTTCGGAAGGAGTCGAGGTAGCAGGCACTGCCAAATATTGAGCTGCCATACTGGCAAGGTTTGGCCAATGTGCCTGGTTCACCTCCCAAAAAACAAGCTCATCGGATTTCCTAGGAGCCACCAAAGGAGCTATCGTTGGCTGGTCGACATACTCCGAAAGCTCGTCTTTTGTAAGCTCCGTCAAAAAGAGCTCATGGAGTTGTTGGGCTCTTTCGGTCACTTCTTCATCCATCGCCACCACACCAGAAAACTTGCGCCATGCCTCACGTACCAGATCTTCACTGAATTTGCACCATTCCTTTTCCCAGCCATGACGGCGCCACCACCTGAACTTGAGACGTGGGTCAAGTGCAGTCGCCACAGCGTAAACCTCAGTCATGTCGGTACGACTGTAGTAGCGTACCAACTTGTCAAGGCCGCAACGAATGGCATGACAAAGTTCGGGATCGGTGGCTATCATACGTTCTTCAAGTTTCTCGAGAGCATCCATGATACGGTTGTAGCACAATATGGTCATGTTCACAGACGCATGCGACTTGCTTGATGACAGCGTCTGTGTGGCGTCCTCGAAAGGCTTCAACACCTCAATGATACCCTGAATCTTGGTCCAGTCTGATGCTGACAAGGCAAATCTTCAAGCTCGGAACCAGGTGCAGTCATGGCAACGTATGCCTCCTTGAGCTTGACAGCACGATTCAACATATCGTATGTTGAATTCCAACGTGTACGAACATCGAGTGTCAAGGCCAAAGGTGGACAATCCATTGCGTCACGTCTCCTCTCAAAGGCAGCGATACGTTGAGGCGAGGATCTATGCATAAAAAATAAGTATCATTACCGATGTCAACTATACGAATACAACATCTTACCTAATCTTTAGGATCCCTTTTCGTAGCTTGGCGAGTGGAGTGGCAGGCTCATCTGAAATGTCATGTTCGATCACGTTATCGGGTGCTTGGGCCTTTAAGCCATTCTTGAGGATCGCCTGCACAGCGAGATTAAAGATGTGGCCGACGCATGGGATATGATGGCGCAAACGAAAGGGCCTATACAAAGTAAACGTACGTTAACTCTTGATCACCTTGAAAAAGACATTCACTTACCACTGTTTGGACTCTTGCTTGCCATATTCCATCACATGACGCACCATCGTTGTCATGTTGGCGGCGTTGTCGGTGGTAACGGTGAAGAGCCTTCTGCCAAGGTCAAACTCCTCAAGGACGTCGATGAATACAGCAGCCAGATTTTCACCAGTGTGTGGGCCATTGATGGGCTCAAAGCCGATGATCACCTCCTTCATGGTCCATGTATGCTGATCGATCCAGTGTGCTGTCACAGCAAGGAATGCTTGGTTGAAAGGACTTGTCCAGCCATCCAAGGTACATGACACAGCTGGTACCTTCCTCAACATCTCCTTCAATCGATTGCGAGCCATTTCATATTCCGCCTCAGTCTTAAAAAAAACATTCACTGGTAAGAATCTTATTTGCCATACTATATGACTCTTGCTTACTTTTCTCGTGCAGGTGCGTGCCGAAGGAAGTTGAACGCCTGATGCGGTAGGTGCAATTCGTGCCAATTCAAGCAGCTCTTGTAACGCAGCATTCTCACAGGTCGTGAATGGCAACTTGCTTGTCACCAAGAACTTGACAACCACTCGTTGGAATTCTTCAGCGTTGAATGTACGAGCACGTTTCCCATGAACGAAGACATCCATTGGGCCACGCTTGTCACCACTATTGACATGAGGACCATTGCTCTTGTTGATTTGATGTTTGCCGAGATGCTTGATAAACCCAGAGGTAGACGAGTACTTGCTGGCGATAAGCTTTCCACAGTTACCAACCAAACATTGTATTGCAGGAGAACCATCTTCTTTCAATGCTCGCTTGCCATACTTGTGTACGAACACCCAAGCACTACTGTCATTGCCATTATCTTCGATATCATCACGTGCTGGTTCCTGACGCAGAGCGGACTCCTCTTGACACACGGCTGATAAAACCGAACCATCATCATCAAAATCATCCGAAGCATCAACAGTGTCGTCTGTGCACTCGGTACGATTAGACATGAAGGACGACTCTCGAGAAAGAAAACGGCTCAATGATGATGGCTATAAATTCGGTAAGTGAATATCGTGATCATTAATGCATATCATCAAAAAGTATACGTACTTCATCACTCAAAGCACCACGTGGATCTTTCGAGGAACTACCGACTTGGTATGGCATGATGATTGAAATAGCGATTATATGAACAAGAAGACAAGAAATAAAGATGAAATGCTCTCGTAATTGTGGTGATAAATGCTGCTCTTTATATCTTTGGGAGGTTGCCGAGAATGACAGCTTTATTGAATAATTACAAATCTCTTGAACGAATCGGGTGCAGTTATAGACCTTGATCCGGTGATGTACTTCTTTAAACCCGAATGTCACAATGCTTAAAAATTGCCATTGGTTCTGATCCACTAACGTTACATAATAAAGTGACTTACGACTCGATTATCTGCAAGAATAACCATTATCTACGGCCATCCATTGGATTCACAACTCCTGATCCTTTACCCTTATCATCGGCGCCGCGACATTCGACCGATTATACCCATTAACACTCCCGATCACACTGACAACTTGAGATCGTTGTTTACGAAGGATTCAACATAAGTATAAAAGTGGAGAACATCGCGAAAAGAACATGTTCTGCCTATGGATCACGCCTTCAATAAGGCAATCTCGTTTGTATTTCGTGCATTGCCGTGGAACAACCATTGTAGATTGTTTGCATGCTTTCATTTTTAGACGCGTAAAACGCGAAATCACCTTATCGCGTCAATTTAAGTCGCCACTTGGGCATCTGAGACAATGTCTGCTAGGTTACATTCGAATATTGTATGTATATCCAAACAAGCAAGGCTGATGGAAATGTCCTATTCTTCATTCTCTTTACATTCGTTTACGCAAACCAATACCAGTGTCAAGCTTGCATTCTGTATGAGCATGAGGCTTCCAAAAATTGACCCTTATGGTACCTGTCATATATACGGGTTACACAAACCAGGATACAACAATCAAAGTGAAACCGCCATCATTTCTCATTTGCTTCCGCTTCCTTTCTACATTTAGGTATTATACATCTACAAAGTTGCGCAGCTACCAGAATGCTGTATACAGACTCTATATACTATATTCCAGCTGCTCGACGCAATTGCCTGCTACCTATACCATCATGGACCTCCAAATTTAAAAGAGGCCCAATTGATCGCCAATAGGGCCAATCTGCCCTTCATATATACAACAGTTCAACACGCTCACTCATTTCAGCAGCACTTATTTCCGATTTCAACTCATTGCTACCGCTCATTATCGCTTTCGACACCGCTTTATCGAGCGCACATACATTTCCACTTGCACATCGCTTCCATTACTCAACGCAATCGCCTGCTATCTTTGTCATCAAGGAGCTCCCAATGCAAAAAAGGCCCAGGTGACCGCCAATGGCGACCACCCAGGCCTTATTTCAACTACAACAAGCTTGTCTCATCATTACAATACGACGGCAAGACTTTGACTCATTTGACGAATGCGAGGTCGAAAAGCATGCTCTCTCTACCAGGACAAGATCAAGGTTTTACTTTGTTTGCCCCACCTGAGGCGCCTCTACATGTAGCAGGTATCTTTGTCAATTGCCCCAATTGGTGTCCTTGGATATTGACTATGGATTCGATGCCGATATCAGTGCTGCCCCATCGACAAAGACATGGCCACAACCCACTACCTTAAGCCTGTGCCATTATGATGGTATCACTCTCAGTGGAAATTTTGAAGCGGTTTCCTTCACTCATTAAGCTTGCGCTTAATCCATGCACTGCAACGCGGCCCATGACAATGATCCAACATCCAAAGATATACATTACCCTCTTTTAGCATAGTTGCATTTTTCGTCTTCTATCCATTTATATCATAGCCCGTTATCATTAATACGACAATAAAAGCTCAATATACTGAACAAGCTTACGATTCACATACGAAATCTAATCAACTTAATACTTTTTATTGACTCGGTACTCGGTACTCGGTACCTCGGTACCCGGTACTCGGTTCCAAACTCTGATTCAAAAGGTACCGACTTCGGTCCTCGGTTCTTCTTGGTACCGACCGGTACGGTACCAGCATTTTTAGGTACGGTGCCGGTTCCATTCAAGTACCGGGTACCGAGGTACCGTGCCGATCCCTAATCAGAGAGGTGTTTTTCAAGAGCAAAGTTTTATATACCACCTAGTCGCAATTGCCTTAACGACCAGAATCTTTCCATGTCCATCTTGCTCGATTCATTCTTTTAAGTATCTAAATAATACATAATGGCTCAACAGTTCAGCATGCTTGTTGTAGCACAATCATCCATCTTTAACACACATCATTGCCTTTGTAACATATCGAAAGTTGAACTCGTTCAGTTTTATCTTTTGTATGCAATCTAGATGCTTTTAGATAATAGTATGTGCATGCCATATAGCAACGTAGATGTAATATTATAGTGATGTGTATGACTAGGACACGAGGGTATACGATTACAACACGAAAATATACGACTAGGACACGAGTGTATACGACTAGGACACGAGTGTATACGACTAGGATACGAGAATATACGACTAGCACACGAGGATATACGACTAGTACACGAGAATATACGACTAGGACACGAGAGCGCATACCAGCAGTTGTAGTTTGTGTGCTCGCACACAGCCTATGTTACACATGAAGGGCCACGACCTGTGATACGGTTGCAATCCGGACCCCAACCGAAGCTGCAAGTGACCCGATCCGATCTGCCAGGTCCGGATTGAAAAATACTTACCCGACTAAAATCGGATCGGTTGCGGATACATGGCTAATCCGACCCGATCTGTATTTTGAGCATCGCTATTTGTCATCATCCCTTGCTATCTTGGCAATTGTTTGAGTCAACGTTTGATTCAATCTTTCACATACAGTGACCCACAAAATTGTTCAAATGTTTTGTACTTTTGCATAAATCGTTTCCTGGCGCATTGCCATGCATATAGAACATAGTGATATTATACATCATTCGATAGCGTAGCTAATTGGGCACACAATGAAATTCACGTGATCTGTGCAACATCGAAATTCATGCAGCTGCCGGGGAACAAATAGCGTCGATACACTTGAACAATTTTGAGGGGAACTAGAACATGTTTTATTAATACTTAGTATAGCCTCCTCTTGCTTAATAACAGGCTTCTATACGTCGTGGCATGCTTGCCATGAGCCTCTCACAGTATTCCTTCGTCGTACACTTGTTCCAGGTATAGGAAACCCTTTCCCAGAACTCGGGCATTGACTTAGCAGGCTCATGATAGAGAAGCAACTTGCGTTTGAGCTCTGCCCACATATGTTCGATAGGATTGAGGTTTGGGGAGTACGATGGCCATGGTAGGACCTCAACACCATTATCCTGGAACCATTGGGTGGCTTTCCGGGACTTGCGCTTAGGATCATTATCTTGCTGAAAGATGATGTCATTCACTTCAAGGCCGTAATATTCCAATCATTGCTTGAATTCATCATCTAAAATGCTGCAATAGAGGTCGGCATTCATGGTTCCTTGAATTTTGGTGATAAACCCGGGCCCTGACCAACAAAAACAGCCCCAGATCATGATGCTTCCGCCACCATGCTTATATGTATGGATAACATTGCGTTCACGTAATTTCCCATCAGGATCAATCCAAGTCCAATGAAGGCCATCACTTCCCAAACGGTTCACTTTTGTCTCGTCGCTGGAAACAACACGTTTCCAGTCCTCTACAGTCCAAGAACGATATGCTTGCGCGAACCAGAATCGTGCATTGCGACGCGATCGGGTCAATGGCAACACATTGGGCTTCTTAATTGCGGTGTAATTGAGACGCTTCATTTCACGACGAATCGTTTCAGCACTTGGGGTCACCTTGTTGGGGTAGGTAGCTCGGAGCTGACGGCTTGCATCTTCAATACTCTTGTATTCGCCAGTTACGAGTTTCCGAATGATAACACGAATGTCATTGCTTGACATTATGCGCTTTCGACCAGCTCCATTAAGTTCAATGTCGACATTGAGGTCCGTTCGAATAGCTCGAATAGCTCCAAGGGATACACCGGTGAGTGTAGAGATTTGGCGGTATGATGTACCTTGTTGTAGAAGATGTTTCACATCCTCTTTCTTCTGGTTACTGATTGGACGCATAATAAAAGTTACTTATAAGTGACGTCGAAGGGAAAAGGGCCTAGGCCATGCTCAAGGCAGTAGAAACTTTTATTAGTGGCTTATCAATAACATTACAAAGAATAAAGGCTCCACATGTTGTAGATGTTCATTTATGTAATATTGCTGAAGTACCCTCAAAATTGTTCAAGTGTATGGACGCTATTGATTCCCCGCTAGCTGCATGAATTTCAATGTTGCACCGATCATGTGAATTGCATTGTGTGCCCAATTAGCTACGCTATCGAATGATGTATAATATTACTATGTTCTATATGCATGGCAATGCGCCAGGAAACGATTTATGCAAAAGTACAAAACATTTGAACAATTTTGTGGGTCACTAGACCATTGCTTTGAGGGCGGTATGCCGTGGTAGTAATGTGCCTGCAACCCATATCTTGTAAGAATTCCCATACAAATGCTGATGTAAAATTGGATCCTCGATCCGTCAAAATATATGAAGGGACACCATCGGTCTTCACCACGTGATTAAATAAGAAGTCTGCCGTTGTTTCCTCGTTGATATTGGGCACTGCGGCTGCTACCGGCCACCTTGTCAAGTAATCAATTGCAACCAATAGATAGCTATTTCGATGTCTTGTTGGCTCTAAAGTGGGACCTACTGCGTCACAGCCGATCGTAAAGAATGGACGTGTTGGTGTTTTGATGGGATGTGCTTGAGCGTAACGCCGCCTTGGAACACGTTGTTGAAATTGACACGTTTGGGATCCTTTGACAAAATTTTTGAAACAGTGGGATAGACCAGGACTCCAAAAGTTTTCACAAATGCGTTGCCATGTTTTGACTTCACCGAAATGACCTTCATTATGTACTTGTATGACGACTTCTTCGATATTGCGTTGATGAAGGACTTCAGGCCCAAAGTATGTGGGATCGTTGTTCTTACGGTATAGCCTTCCGTGGTATGCTTCTAAACGTCGTGCTTGATACCTTATCTTGCGCTTGGTAGACTCATCCGTACCATGAGGGTAACGACGGATCACTGAAAATATAGGGGACCACATTTTATATACTATATATATAGATACTTAGCTAAATAAGGAAACTGGGCTTTAAATAAAACCCCGACAAGGTAACAGCATGCTCCGAATCGATCTAAAACAATCTCAAAAAGCAGTCACATAAGAAATTGATGCCCAATTTTATACCCAAAGAAGGCTAAACCAAAGCTATACACTTCATGGACCATGGCTTATTCCTCGACACTTCTATCAGCTTCTCATACCACTGCTAATGCTGTAGATGAAGAGAGCAAGTCCAAAAACCTTGTAGATGATGAGAAAAATGCACCCAACTTTGACCTTCATTTTCTCGACAGCCAATTGCCTAAATGACTTGCCAACCATTGTGGGTGGTAATATAGAGTCGTAGTATTTTGGTGAAAGTGCCAAAATCGCAATACAGGCTTTGACCACTTCTATTTTTGGCACTTGTGGGGGTCGCCATATCGAAATGTGGAGAAGTTGCCTGAGACGTAGGGCAGTAAGTTCGTAGAGAGGTTGTCACGATAATCCAAATAAAGTAATCACAAGGGGGCCTTCAATCGTCAAATCCAAACAATAAGCAATCGCAACTGCTTCTCACAACGAGTTCCAATTCAAAGACAAAGATAAAGACAAGGGTTTAATAAAATCTTTTCATGGCTATTCTAAATACACATCCTCAGACAAACGAGTGGTTGACAATGACAAGGTTTCAGCTATCAAAATCCAGCGACTATAAAAGGCAGTTGAGACGCTGACTACTCCCCTACAGACGTCTCATGCTGACACGAACGGCACAGTTCTGGGTTCTTGCTTGTTCCGGCCTTGTAGGTTCTTGAAGAAAACGAAATGATTATTCAATTACTTCACGAATGCAACACACAACCAATGATAAACGACAAATGTATACGCCAAGGTTCTTCAATCAAAGATACGCTTTTCAACACAAAGGTAAACTCGACCAATATGTTTGCTCGCTAATCTCAATACGTGATCAGATAAGATGATGTTTATTCAAGTTCACAGCTAAGTGCTTATATAGTTTTCTATGAGTGACTAGCTATGATGATATAAAATAAATGTAGCATTGCAGGTCCCATATCAATCGTAGATAGATAGATAAGGATAGCAAGCTACTAAATGGGATACATGAAGGTCGTCTTACTTACAGTCAAGAGAGATTCGGTGGAAAAAGACTATCGTTGTCGGGTCGTCGACAACACTTGTATTTATACACATACATCTAAACTACGCTAAAGCTATATCGTATCTAAGACATGAGCTCGTCTATAATCGTAATGTCGTAATCTCAGTGAAACTAGCGTATCTTGTAGCTGTGAATGCTACATTCTCCCCGTCCTGAGTGAGTCGTCCTCCGGATGATGTGCGTGTATGAATGTGCCGTAAACGGGTATCGTAATCGTAATCGTAAACGTAAAGCGTAATCGTAATGGGTGATAAACGTGGATGATTGTGCGTCGTTGCGGTCTTGATTAAACCTTGCGTGAATCTTGTAGGATCGTTGTATGTCTCAATCGTAACGTGTCGTATGTAAAAGGTATCTTGTCATCGTCATCCTACAAGCCAATCATCTTGCGTGTCGTTGTGTTTCGGCAGTAGCCCCTAACTGCATCGTGACCCAGCTTCGATAATATAGAGAGGCGCAGCGCTAGGTGATTTATACTGGAGAAGCTTTTTCATTGAGGCGTAAACTTGGTGTTGCTGCGACATCGTGGTAAGCGTAATATACAAGTAAATTGACAACTTGCATAAACCATGATGCGTGTCATCAGGTCTCACCCCTCCCAAAGTAAAGGGTACGTAAAATGGGACACCGAGTGCGACTCAGTCAAGGAAAAGGTGATGATCGTGAAAAAAAGTTTATTGGAAGAAGGGAAAAGAAGCGTCTGAGTGTCAGCAATCATTACTTACGCGTTTTACGTTGTGGGCGGCGTGCGTGATAGGTTTCAAACTCGGCCACGAGGTCGGCTGCAGTAACCAAATTTGACTCAGGTTCCCATGTTGCATCGTGCAAAGGATAACCAACCCACTTGACGAGGTATTGTTTCTTCTTTTGTCTTCCACGAATACGTACGTTGAGAATGCGTTCAACTTCCCACTCATTTTCGTCATCGTTATCATTCGTGATAACTGGTGGAGGCATCTCTGGTCGTCGAGAAGGCTCATCCGGTTCTTGATAACGAGAGAGTACAGAAACATGAAACACGTTGTGAGCACGAATAGTGGTGGGGAGATCAACCTTGTATGCGACGTCACCAATGCGTTGAATAACCTTAAACGGGCCATGCCTTCGTGGCAAAATTTTCCGGCTTGGTGCGTTTGCATACACGTCAGGGTTTATCACACTTAAGTCGACCAACACCAAATCGCCAATGTCGAATGACAACTCACGACGTCGTGTATCAGCGTATGTTTTCTGCCTTGTCACCGCAGCTTCCAATCGTTGGAGCGCCAACTTCTTCACATTCTCAAGTTTAGAGACCAACACATGCTGACTCAACTGAGGAAGACGTAGATTGGCGTACAGCAGTCAATAACGAAGAAGGTGAACGACCCAAATCGCATTCAAAAGGAGTCATTCCAATTGACGTATGCAACGAATCGTTATACGTATGTTCAAGAACAGGTATCCACAAGTCCCAATCGTTGGCGTCGTAGGCAACATAGCAACGTAATAGCTCTTCGATAGTACGATTCGTTCGTTCAGTTTGCCCATCACTTTGTGGATGACTTGCGGACGACATATGGCGTGCCGTACCCAACATTGAAGACACCGCAGCCCAAAAACGTGAGGTAAACTTAGGATCACGGTCAGAGACAATGTTGGATGGAAGGCCATGTTGACGATATATCTCACGTAGGAACAAATGAGCAAAATCTTCAGCCGTATCAGTCGTCTTGCATGGGGCGAAGTGTGCACGTTTTGTGAATCGATCAACAAAAGTGGCTATGGCATCGTGCCCATTTTGCGTCATTGGTAAGTGTGTGATAAAGTCAACCGATATCGATTGCCAGCGTTCCGTAGCTAACTGTAAAGGTTGTAACAAGCCTGCAGGTTTAGCATTCGATGCTTTGGTGCGTTGACAGGTGTCACACGTAGCGATATAGCGGCGAACAGTCTTGTGCATCCCTGGCCAATAGTATGATCTTTGGATTCGTTCCATTGTTGTATCAATACCTCGATGACCAGCTTCGGGTGAATCGTGATTCTCGTGAAGGATGCTGGTGAGCAATTGTGACATGCGTGGTACAACAACTTGCTCGACACCGTTTGCTGCTTGGCGAATAAGGAGACCATCATCCCCCTTTGAAAAAGTTGGATCGTCCTCTGTACGTAAACGTTGGAGGATTTCTTTGCAAAATTCATCCTTATGATATAATCGTAGAATATCCGGAGAGAGCGATTTCCGAATGATTCTCAACGTTGTCGTATGCAATTCGAAACTTGCATTTGGATGAGATGGCTCAGCTGGTGGTCTTTTTGAAAGAGCATCAGCAGCGTGATTGCGTTCCCGAGGTATGTGATGTATATCGAATACATAAGATTGGAACTCTTGAAGCCATCTGATTTGCCGTTTTGAAAGATTCGTGTTGGTCTTCAACGTAGCAAGAGATCGATTATCCGTATACACCGTGAAACGTGGTCCATCCAAATGGTGTCGCCATTCATCAAGACAATGCTTGATTGCCAACAATTCAAGCTCGTGTACAGGATAGTTGAACTCAGCATCTTTCAACGAACGTGATGCGTAAGCAATAGGATGAAGATCGTCATCTCCAGGTTGTGAGAGCACACCGCCAACAGCAACCGATGAGGCATCCGTATGTAAGTGAAAACGCTTTTCAGGGTCTGGCAATGCGAGTACTGGTGCTGAACATAACCGCTGCTTTAAGGTGTCGAATCCTTTTTGAGCTTCATCACCCCAATGCCAAGGGACGTCCTTACGCAAGTGGTAGTTCAAAGAAGCAGCAGCAGTAGCGAAGTCACGGATGAAAGCACGATAGTAATTTGCCAGGCCTAGAAACGATTGGATGTCTCGTACGTTTTGAGGGGTCTTCCATTCGGCGACAGCTTTGACTTTACGAGGATCAGCTTTTAAACCTTGATCGGTAACGATATGGCCAAGAAACTCGAGTTCTGACATACCGAATTGACATTTGGACTTTTTGGCATAGAGCTTATGATCGGCAAGCCGTTCAAGGATGCATCGTACATGCTCAACGTGATCGTCAACGTTTTTCGAATATACCAAAATGTCATCAAGGTAAACAACAACGAATTGATCCAAGTAGTCACGGAAGATGTCATTCATCAATTGCATGAAAGTACCAGGTGCCGATGTCAAGCCAAATGGAAGCACGGTCCATTCCATCAAGCCGTATCGTGTGAGAAAAGCCGTTTTAGGTACGTCCTGCTCTTGTACACGAATTTGATGGTAGCCTGATCGCAAATCGAGTTTCGAAAACACCTTAGCACCTTGCAGTTGGTTGAACAGCTCGTCTTGGCGTGGCAAGGGATAACTATTCTTGATAGTTATGCTGTTCAACGCTCTGTAGTCGATGACCATTCGTAATGATCCATCTTTCTTGGCGACGAAAAGTACCGGTGCACCATAAGGAGATGCTGATGGGCGAATCCAACCCTTCGAGAGTAAGTCGTCAAGAGTTTGTTTCAGCTCTTGTAATTCGCGCGTTGATAACCGATACATCTTGCAAAACTTGAATTTTGTTTCCAGGTTTAGCGGCATTTCAAATCTT